CATGTCTGTTTCATGTTTTATAGTTGTTACAGCAATGATGATTATTCCCCCCCAAAAGACTAAAATTAGCAACTTTTCTCATTTCATTCAAGACATACTAGTATATATATGGATATATATATACATCATACTGATACAGCTAGTACATAGTATATATAACATATATATACATATACCATACATATCATATATAATATTATGTATATATACATATACCAATATATCAGGAATCAATTAACAAATACAATACATATACATACGTGTTATACATATACATATATACATATATATATATATATATAATATATACATATACATACAAAAAGTCATTAATATACCATTATATCCGATATACACATATATATTACATATACACTCAATACAATTATAGCCGGTAGCAGCTAGCGTACTATACAGATAATAGTATCATGTAATTCATAAGACGTAGAAAATATATAACATATACTACATAAAAACATCCAAATAATAAGAATCACACTAGACATAGTATATATTATACATACTATTAGTACCATACATATATACTACCAATACATCATATATACAGTAACATATAGTATATATATATATATAGTATACTATATATAACATATACATACTATATATATACATATACATATACATATTATATACATACAGTAAGTACAACACATAGTATATATATACTACACATATATATATACCGTACCTACGCTATTATATAACGTATGATATACGTGACTATAGTAGGTATATTATATATATATTACATACACATCCATGTAATATATATATACATCATAATATAGTAGTATACCTATTACATATACCATATATACATATGTATATGTATATAGTATATAGATATATACCGCGTTATATATATAGTATATAGTATGTATTATATATGTATGTATATATATTATGTATTATGATTATGTACCTCATATACTTATTGATATGGTGTACTATAGTATATGATATAACGTAGTACATATAATCATACATAATATATTACATTATACATATTACATATACATATATATATAGTTGTTTAATCAATTACTCCAATACAGGAATAATGTTTTATGCACATTAATACAAATATTATGTGCTACTGTACCTACTAGGTCAGTTTTGAGACTGTGGGTAGGAGGATGTGGGCCTCGTTTATTTTTGTGTTTTATGTATTCATCATAAGCAAGATTTTAGGTTACATCATATCCACTTATTGATATAGGGTATTGTAATGTTATTACCTAATGTATCTCATAATACTATAAATACTCCCACAAGTCATTTTGTACAATTATGGATATACTTCCATTCATAAAAGGTGTTAACTTAATTTTTGTTCTGCTATTATAAACATTATTATCATTAATATATACTTCAGAGATTATATGACTATTTTAGTTATTAATATTAAGTACATATACGATTTAAGTCGTGAGGAATGGAATTTTATTTCAAAAGTGTGTTTTCTAAGTGCTGTTACCTGGATAATACAGACAATCATGTTATCTAATCCAGCCATAGATGAGTTTATTTTTATATTATAACAGAGTAGCGGATGAGAAGCAGGTTCTGGCATACATAGATGGGCTCTGGCTTGGGTTTTGATACGCAGCCCAGGATATGGACACACCAACACGGCTTTAGATTATTTATAGATTTTCCATTTTTTTCACAATGTTCTGTCTGTATTATCTGCAGGAGTTTGGTATATTTTACTGTACGTTGATTACCTAGGTCATATTCCTTGATCAAAATGGAACGCTCATAAGAGGTTTGATAGATGCACTTCATGGGTTTACTAATTAGTGACACTGCATGTTTTCATGGACTGACTGGATGTGCTTTACAGGATCTGAAATTAAAGTCCAGATACCAAAGCAAACTAATTCGAATCAAGCGTTGGTTTCGTTATTGGAGTCTGGGTGCTATATGAACAGAGCTAATATGAGCTCCGTGTGGTGGTTAAACAATATGGATCGTTACTCTAACAAGATGTCTCTATTGTATCGATCCTTTTTATTAAATAGCTAAGTTACAGTTTAACATATCTGAGTTTGTCAGTGGCAAGATAAAAAGCAGCGTTTTAGTGGACGTAAGGTTATACGCAATTGCCCTAGACAAATTTCAATTGGACTCCGTTATTTGCTAGCTGTCGGTCTGGCTCCAGGCTCATATGGATTACAGTATGGTAGCAATCTATCTAATGATGTTCATAACATCTTTGCGAATTGCTGACTGTGTCAAAGGAATACTCCGGCTTATACTAGGTATAATATTAATTTAACAGGGTGTCGGGTTTATCCTGTTCCTATCGTCTGTCTCTCCTTTTAAATTATTGTTGCTTCTCTTTCCATGTATAATGCTACTAATATAATATATGTATTTGTTATTATGTTATAATTCATTTTTATTATACTAATTTGCTCCTATATAATACACCTCTAATAAGTCATTATGGAAGAATTATAGTATGTAAAAGCATATAACATCGTGAGGAGGACTAAAATACTAATAATTTCTTTTAAAAACTTTAAGAACCTGATATTAAATCCACTGTGGCGTATCAGCAGGAAGGAACATACTGTACGGCGAGTTATGTTTTTAAAAATAACTACACAGGTTAATATCACTACTAAATCATATGCCAGTCGAACGCCAGTCCACTCGACACCCACCTCCTCCTCCATAGCCTCCGCGACGCATTCTGTCATAGGATCCCCCTCGGCCCATCATGTTGTAGCCACGACCACCAGAGGGACGGTCGTAGGGGCCAGGTCTCTGCATGCCCATGGGCTTCCGCTGGGGCTCGTAATGGGTTCGCACCTCAGCACGGCTGCTCTTGAAGATCTCAATGTACCTAAGAGCATAGAGATACCACGGTGAGGGCATGGGGAATGGACCAGGTAAGGCTGCATTTGCTCAATACTGATGAAACTGGGCTATGCAGATGCTGTCATGGTGTAGTCCATAGGTAGTAATATCTTTTGAGTACTTAATGCTAATTGTTAATAGAGTAGATGAGAAGGACTAATTAACTGAGTTGCAAAAATGAAGCTGACCAAATTGATAAGGACCGTATTGACTTTTACACTTTTCTTATGGTTACCTGAAGTGACATTTATCTGATTGAGCGTCCTGTGTCCTTGCCATGACAGCCATTGTCCTAGTTTTAGAGGGACAGAGAGGGCTCCAGCCCATCTGCAACCCACTCTAAGCATTACCTGTGACAGTGGGCTCCAGATCCATGTGTACAGTGGCCCTCTGATTTTACCACCAGGGAGACTCCTTACCATTTATCAACCTGGACTGATGTTTAGTGCTGAGACACCATTTGTTCTCATAATTAAGCATGTACTGTGATTCAGGATTTGTCTCATTTGTGAATGGTGCCCAAGCACTAATCCTCCCATTGAACATTGTGAATGTGTGGCATATGTGGATCTAACATAGCAATTTGTGTATGTGTTCGTGGTAAATACAAATATGCTTTAACCAAGATAAATATAGTGTCCGTTTTGCATTTGGATTAGATGTTGAGGGTGCACACCATAAGAAAAGCAACTTATCCAGCCAACCAACCAACCATCCCCACCTGTGCCCTATTCTTTCCTTGTGTTTCTTTAGAGCCTTTTCAGCTATATCCTGTGAAGCAAACTGCACGAAGGCCTCCCCCGTACTCCTCCCCTGGATGTCCACCGGCAATGTTATCCCATTTGGCACGATTTCCAACCCTTCAACCCAAGGACAGATAACCCCAGCAGGGGACATATTAAATCACATGCCCAATCACAGAAGAGAACTTTCTCTAAAGAGAGAGATAGAAAACTTATGGAAAACTCTATACATCATCACACATACCAGTTCAGTTTTAACCAGTGACTGGCCATTTAAACGACTTACATTTACTGCATTTTGGGGATAAAATAGAAATGAGAGGATAGAGGAAGAATATGGAAAAGGGCACTGTTTGGGACATCAGGCTAGTATTGGTGTGTTGATGAAGAGAGAACAAGATCCTGCTGGGTGACATGAGTTAAATTACTGTTGGTCCATTAGGAACTAATCTAACACTTGGCATACAGTGTATATAGGAAAAATTTACATAACGAGAAGAGCGTGAGGAAATGGGGGGGAAATAAACAATGGTACTGGGGTAAGAGACTGTCCAGTCAGACATGAGGGGGACCCTTTCTGTCATTAGTTAATTACAAGTAGGCACACACAACTTAAACATTAAAGTAAATCACTTTACAAAATTAGACGCAACTAAAGAGAAAAAAGGTGATGAATGGGCTAAAAGGTGGATATGATGGGCAAAGATGGGAAAGGGTGTTTGCATTAAAGATTCCTGCGACTGAAATTCCTTGAACTGAAGATAAAAACTCCTCAAAGAGTTAACGAGCTTCCTTTTCTGGCATCATTTCCTCACTTATCACCACTCCAAAAAACAAATAATTGTGTTATTTTATTATGTAATAATATACAGTAGGTATTGATCATTTTCCAGTGGTACACTTTGGTCAAATCAGATGCAAAAGACTGTTAACAGTTGTAACGTCCGTAGGAGAAAGGAAACAAGAAAAGGAAGATGAAAAAAAACCTTCATCACCAACATTACATTCAAGTAACCCCCGAGCAAAGCCTATTCTTACCTGAGAAAAACTGTACTATCTCCTCCTTGCTGCAGCCAAAAGGAAGGCCTCGAAGCCGGACGAGCCCGTCTCCTGCTGTTTCTGGACAGTTCGGACCGGTGTGCTTCATGACCCAGTCCATCTCGACATTGTTGGATTTAAAAACTATAAAAACAGAGGACACGTAACAGTCAGTTAACACGGCATAAAGTGGAGAAAGCTGGAGCATTATGAGTCGGTCTAAGTCTTAGCACACACCCTCTACGTATCGGTGACCCATAGTTTCTCTGTCCTTCTTCACGGCAATCTTCAGGTCTTCCTCTGTCTCCAACTCGACAAACGCCTCTCCACTGGGACGCCCCTCTCTCGTATAGGTGAAGTGGATGCCGCTTCCATTGCTGACAATTTTGCAATCTGCATTTGAAATGAATCATCATCAAACATTTATTTTTGCTTCAATTAAGAGTATTTGGTAAAACTTGTAACAAACAAACACCTACCTGAGAAAAACCTCTGTACTTCATCCACCGAGCAAGACCAAGGGAGACCCCTGATGCGTACTACATATCCCTCATCAGCCATGACGGATCACAATCCCTGAAGAAAAACACCCCATTATTATTCAATCTCAACACACGCGTTAATTCGGTCAAAACACAGACAACTAGTGACAGCAGTGTGGATACAATCTTGCGTCCTGGTATTTAAAGACATCATTTTTGTACTGTTCCTTCATACCCTGAGTTATAGTACACCTCACAAGCCCTTTTCTCCGTGTCCCTGCCTTACATGGATCCCCACAAAACAAATGTTGTGCACTGCGGCTCCCATTCATGTGCCAGTAAATCCCAAAGGAAACCTACATGTGTGGAGTTAATTACATTATATTGTTGCCTACTGCCCTGCAGGTGTACCAAAACGCTGTTTTCCCTCTACACTAATCGCCTGTGCTTTATAAAAATAAAAAAAGCTTTCACACTTTGCCATCAGCAGCATGGACATATTGTGAATTAGCTTGCAGCGCCACCTGGAGGTCGTTTGATTGAGCTGGAGTGAAAACCGACAGCGTTTCTCTACCAAGTACAAAATCTCGACATCGTGGCTTTTCCCTGCCACGAAGAATGATGCTGTCTGAAAACACAAACAGCACGTAATTATACCCAACTTAAATCGCAGCTCTTCTGAACTTAAAGTGTGTGTCGACCACTTCATAAAGAGCGCGAAGCCGGAGCGCAGCTAACGATAGCCATACAACAATGTGTATCGTTAGCAGGGTTAAAAGGCTTTGTTTCGACAATACATCTGGCGTTAAAGCGTCCCGATAAAAGGTTAAAGAGTACACCGAGACTTAAGTATGAATGAGTGATTAAGAAACTCTGTATTTGCGGTAGTGTGCGTGCTGGAGACCACGCACACTACCGCACCCAGGCACAAGAACAAAAGCGGCCTTTAGCCGGCGCCATGTTATTAGCGTTAACACTCAGCTACTATCCGCCAAAAAAAAACTCACGTTATTACAATAAAACCTCGTTTAAAATACCGCCGGCGATGTAATGCGACTCAAAACAGGCACAACTTTCAACAAGCCCTTCGGAGCACGCACGAAATGATGTCTGTATTAATGAATTTACCTGATTCAAGCGTAGACACAACACGCCGGAGTATGTATGACCAGAAGTGCGTGATGCAGCGGAAACCTTGCGCCGGGTTGCCAGGTCCCTCCAGCCGCACCCCCCCCCCTTTTACAGGAACTAGAAAAA